TTTTTTCAGTTCATAATAAAAATGTTTAAATTCATATCTTTTCAGTTCAGCGACCACAAAGTGCCAAGCCAGGAACCTCTTTCTCTTACAATATGGTAACTGCAGCTTCACAGTCACCAGCTTCCAAAAGCCATTCAAAGGCTTCACTTCCTCATAAAAAGAATGAACACTTTTCTCAACGGTGAAGCATTTGTAGGTGCAGTGATCCTGAAGAATATTCCCAAGGAGTAAAAAGCAATGATAAAAATCATAAAATCATTTAAATCTCAGGTACTTCAAAATTATATTAAGATAAAGCAAGATAAAAGAAGGATGGTGAAGTATAATGATATGTGAGTATGTATGTATATTTTATATTTTTATGTATAAGTTTTCAATTTACTTTATCAAAAATTCTTCTCTATAGTTATAATTATATTTTTCATGAAGTTGAAGTAAAAATACCTATTCATTTTGTACAAATGTCTTATCATTAACCTTTACTTTAATATCTCTTGCTCTATTTCTGTCATATCAGGGGGTAAAGTTATGGTGATCATGCAAGCCTAATCAGAAATATTGATTGGATTAAGTGTGTGCAATAAGAGTTGTTGCATATATTTAAAAAACAGAGAATGCAAAAAGAAATTATTCACCCTGGTGGCCCCACAGTCAATAATAGCTCAATCCCCTTGTCTGCTCCACTACAGTAAAATGAGAAATCAATAGAATTAATTATATATTTATTGAAATTTTTTGCCATATTAACATCTAAGATCATTAGATATAGTAACTGGGTGAGGCTTTGGGGTGAAGCCCCTGAGTATTGAAGGGTTTTGGTTCATAAGGTGATGTGTGTGGATTCCCAGAATGGTTAATAGTCGAAGCAAGTAAATGTGCTAGACATCAAAGGTCATACAGCACTGTGGTAAATTATTGTGGTGAAAAGGTTATAAAAGACTTAATGATTAGGGTAAACTGTGTCAGATGTCAAAAGTTGCAGAGCCCTGTAGTTTAGTATGGTAGTGGAAAGGGTAAAGAGGGAAGAGCAAATGGAATATGAAGGCCATTCAGGACTGATAGAAACCCAGCCTTCCATCCTTTCAGGGGATGAAGAAAAGAAAAGGAAAAGGACAGGGGGAGAAGAAAAGACCATGGAAAATAAGTTAAGGCAGGGGCGATCCCTTTCACTGGGCCTCATTCTCCATCTCCTTAGGCTTTTCATGACAACAGCAAGCAAGGGATTAGGGGGGGGGGGTCAGTAGTAGTAGTATTTATTTACTGAAAATTTTCTTAAGCATCAACATCTTAGGTCTTAAGCAACATACTCAAAATATAGTGATAAGGTAAGGCTTAGGGTGAAGCTCACAGGTAAGGAAAGGTCATGAAGCACTGTAATAAAATATTGTGGTGAAGGGGGTTAAATGAGTTAACGTTAGGACAAATTACATTAAATGTCAAATGTTGTAGAGCGCTGTAGGTTAGTATGGTAGCGAAAAGGGTAATGAGGGAAGAGCAAATGGAGTAGAAGACTGTTCAGGACTGACACAAAGCCAGTCTTTCATCGTTTCCATATTGCTCTCACACTTTAGGATGTGGACAGATATAGGGGATGAAGAAAAGGAAAAGGAAAGGAGAAGAAAAGACCATGTAAAATTAGATGAGGAGAGAGCTACCATTGGGCCTTTCTCCGTCCCCCAAGTCCCCCCCACGACAGCAAGGGATTGGGGGTTTTTGTAGTAGTAGGCATAAACATACTTATACTGGAGGAATATTCAATAAAAATTTCTAGAAGTTGGGTTATTCTTGATACAGATTAGAAAAAGAAATATATTTAATAAAATAAAAAAGTTGATTATGTCAACTTCAGGTTATGTACTATCATATATGTTTGATTTCAAATCATATATATATATATACATATGGTGTATCAGGAATTTTGTCAAAACACAAAGATATAAAATTAATAAGGTACTGAAAGCCATGTGCATTATATTTGGTTCTGTGAGCAATATTAGTAATGGGATTTATTTCATAGAAAAGTAATTATTCCATCCAAAAGTAAAAGCACTGAGAGCACATTCCTCCGCCAAGGTAATAGGGTCATAAGCAGTAAAAAAATTAACACTTGAATTACATTAAAATTCCTGGATCTGGATCATGATCCTGATGACCACCAGATTTTAATGGCAAGTTGGGCTAAGATACACCTGGTAAAAAATTGATAAAAATCTATTCATAACTTTTTGAGTTATCCTGCACAGGATCCAGATCATCACCAAAATTTAATGGCATCTAAGTTGGGCTAAGACACGCTTCTGGTCAAAATTTCATAAGTCTGTTCAAAAAGTTTTTAGTTATCCTTCCAACCAACTAAATGATCCACAAATAAACCAAAATTCCTGGACCATGATCATGAGTTATCCAGTACAGGATCTAGATCATGATCCAGATCATCACCAAAACTTAATGCTATCTAAGTTGCGCAAAGACACCTCTGGTAAAAATTTCATAAATATCTGTTCATAACCTTTTGAGTTATCCTGCTAACCAACTAACTAATAAGGGGACCGTCCCTAAAAGGGGCATGGCCAATTATGGGGGTGGGGGTGTCATATTGGCAAATATTTCTAAAAAATAAATGGTCTTATGGGTTTTATTAATTTTTGGATATTTCATGTATTTTACTATTCTGCATATTTTGATACCAAACTTATGGGGTTCCCACATGGGGGGCGACGGCCCCCGCAAAAATTTTTTTTTTTTTCCCCACGTGTCTGCGCGGTTGATTCCTTGTCCCAGAGAATCATGTATTGTCATGAAAAAATTGTGAATGAACATCAATGAATTCCTAAGAGATCATCAAATCTTTTTTTGGGAAATTCGATTTAGTTTCCTCAGAAAAAAAAAAAAAATCAAAGAAAAATCATTTTTCACATTTTTAAAGATTTTGAAAAATATGTATAAAAAAAAAATATGGAAAATTTAAAAAATCTGATTCGATAATGTCTGCGCATGTTCAAGAGGTTTCCAAAGATATATCCAAAATTTTGATCGGATAAAAATTCTGGGGCAAGGAATCAACCATAGCTCGAAAAAAAGAAAAATCGAAAAACAAACAAACAAAAAGTTGGATAATTCAAGTTCATTTTTCATATTCATTCATTTATGGATCTTTACCATTTCATTACTGTAGAAACTACTATCATTTCTCTTTCAAATGCACTTCGTTAGATAAAGATATGATCATTAGTCTCCGAGTAATAGAAACAAACAAACAAATTACTCCCGTGAAAAGGGGCAAATCCAGACCCAAGACAACATGATCGTTATATAAAATCGGTTGTTTTGAGTTTTATACCTCTTTTATTAATGTTTTCTTGTGTATACATTCGTTTACATGTGTATACGTAACACGTAAAATTATTGCAATCAGAAAAGTCTAAGGCGGTGGCGACGCTTGGAACTCATCTCTCCAGGACAGTTGTTGACGCGGACGAGCTCCCAGCATGTGTAAATATCTATTCGTTGCGAGTTTATTTTTGGAGATACAGACTTGTAACTGCTCATGTATTATCATCAAACCCTAAACATACTTGTATGATGAATATGTCAAAATCGAATCATATATACTTTATTTTATGGGAAAGAAATTTGAAAAGTCGCATAAAGATTTTTTATTTTTCTTTGCTATTCATATCATAAATCTTTTACTTTAGGATAAAACTGTTATAATAAGACACTTTTATCTTCCTGTGATCCATTTCAATAGGTAATGTCAAAATACAATGCATCATATTAGCTCCTGTGAGGCTGGAGTGCAGAAGGGTAAAAATCGCTGACACAGCGGCAGTGGGACTTGGGGTTCTGACCTCGCGCGCTGCTCAAATTCTTCGCCGCAGAAGTTCATATTCACGTGGGTGATTCTACTCTCATTTACGAATATCAAACTGACCATAACTCATTTTAACCACTCCGACCCAAAATCTTCGACTCGCCCCCACCCCAACCCCAGGGACGGTCCCCTTAACAAAAACTAACCAACCAACGCTACCAAAAATGTAACCTCCTTGGCGGAGATAATTAATCATGTAAAATAGAAAGTTAACCAGTATTTTGTTGGTGCCTAGTGCTTAGACCAAGTAATTTTTATTTGATATAAAATTAGTAAATGTGAGTTGGTCAAAATAAATATTCAAAATAAGGTAGTAATTTTCTAGGATTTGTGTGGGTATTTGGGCTTACTTCTGAAGCCACATCCACGGGCACAAGCAAGTAAGTTTATATACTATTGAACAGCAAAGTGCCTTTGCTAGAGCTTGAGCCAGTTTACCAGACAATAACCAGGGTCCTCATTTAAGAAGCAAATGCCGGTATATACTATGCCAGTATATACTTTTGTTGGTGTATCTCATGACTTTTGTTACTCCAACTCGTAACTCATCAATGAAATTAATATTTTCTAGGGGGAAAAGTGTCTGTGGTGTTACCCATCATCAGAACTAATGACACCCATTCAGTTAACCTAAGAAACACTTGGCCTTTACTTTAGGATTATTTGCTGGTGCAGTCGAGGCAATCTGAGACAGTACGGTTGACATGAGGAGACTGATTATGTAAACCAGAGTAGAGATTACTTACAGGTTCACAGCAGCAGGAAGAGAGTTCAAACTATTGGCGTGTGTCGTGTAATCATAGTATCGAGACATGGATAAATCAATCTCCGTATCTGCAAGGCAGTCATTACAGGAACTACATGTTATCCAGAGCCACAACCAAGTCATCCCACACTTGGCAGATCTCACCCAATTTAATTTTTCCTTGAATATTTTTGGAAAAAGATTTTTAATTCTATCTTTCTTTCCTTTCTTATAGTTGTTGATACTGCTATTATTATTACACACATTATAATTATTAAAATGTTATTAACATTACTAATAGTAATATAAGATAAATGAAATTATTTTTTAAAAATTAAGGTAATGGGTAAACAGGTGAGATAGTGCCAGTAATTGACTCTCATGACTAAGTATTTGTGGTGCCATCTATGTGTAAAGACAAAAAACTAAACTTGTAGTAGTCATGGCATGTTTGTACATGTCACCCCTTCTGGCATTGGATTAAAGACTGGTGATGAACCTATGAAGGAGGTTTGCTTGCAGTCCAGTACCATTCCCTTGGATCTGCTGAGGTGGGTTATCACTGAAATTGCAACAACTACTGAGGCATTAAATTGCTCAGCATAGCAGTAAAGGTTCTCATTCACATCCCTGTAAGACAGAGTCCCCCTACTGAGGTACAAGAGACTGGAACAATCAAGATTCACTCCCAGCATGTCCACAATGGACTGTATCCTAGTGCTGGCACAGCAATACGATACCACCGATTTACCTTATTTTGACAAGTAAGACTTGAAAAATCAGAAGCAGAAGAAATAAAATGCACAAGCTAACGAAGTTAAAGGTCTTCTGCATGTAATTAATGTCCAAACTATTTACTTATGGCCAGATGATCTGAGTTATGGAACACTTTCTAACTAACTGGTTTACTCATCCACTTTTTTCACAAATGCATACTTTGCATGTCTTGTGTAATAATTCGAAGTTAAAAATAAAATTTGAGTGAAATCAAATATGCATACTCGTGCAGTCAGCAGGCATCCATGTTATGTAAACACAAGCCTCAGTTAGATATGTTGGGTATTACCACCAGTTTTGGAGACTAAGACACAAAAAAGTGACCAATTAACATGCAAGTGGAAAAGCATGTGAGGTAAACTTTAATTTTAACATTTGTTTGGAAAAATTATCAAAGCAAGTATACTGTATTACAGCACCCAAATAATTAAACATGGTAGAAGACATTAGGGAAGTGCAAAGCAAAACTTCTTAACAAAAACAATTACCTTGTTATATATACTAATAGAATAATATCAATCCCTTTCACTGGTGACTATACTTCCAGAATATTTTGCAAGTTTCCAACTACAGTTTACAAACTTCATGGTACCCAGACCATTTTTGCACTATAGTTATCCAGAACTTATTTCTAATGTTCCAAAAATTATTAACATGTTTCACCCAATCACAACGGGAGCCCCCAGTGCCATTCTGAACAATACACCAGAGTGCATGCGGAGTCAGCTGCTTGAGGAAAAAATAAGCACAACAGGAAGCATAAAAATGAACTAAGCAGTATATTTTTTTAAAAGTAATGATGCTAAAAAGAAGTTTAAAGTCAAAGGATATCATCCTGGTTTGAATGGGTGAGAAAAAGGTAACATGGGAGCAAGCTGTGAAACAGATTAAATTGGTTATAAAATTTCTGATAAACACTAAGGTAAATCCTTGTAAATGTTTATTGTAAAAGCATCTGTACAACATACAGGCAGGAATAAAATGTTTAACAATGCAACAAAAAAATAAAAAATGAAAAAAAAATTATAATGAAATACCTGTTTCTATACCTGTTTTACCTAACAATTTTTCCTTAATCAGGAGATGCTCAAGCAAATGAAATCACAAGAAGCATACTTTAAATATAAATAAATGAAAATGACTTCAGTAACATAGGAAAACCTGCCATTGAAAGTAACTTACTATCATTCATACATATGAACATGCTAGTATATTCTTTACAACTACAATACAACTCAGTTAATGTTGACAACATTAGGTCTTAAGGTCTTTTCTTTTCTGAGGATAATGTTTTAGGTACTTACTTACTGTCCAATTCTTAACAACTGCACAGAGGTGGCCTAGATATCATTCATTACCTGTGAGAAAATAAAATATTTGCAGAGAGCAAAATATTCCATTGTTGCACTACAGCTAAGTCCTCAATATTGTTTTATAAATATCTTTCAAGTTTTTGTCCTATCAACAGTTTATATATATGAGTAAAAATTAATCTTAGGCAATCAAAATCCCTACATCAAGAAAGCTTTCCCTTCAACCTTTCCATATAAGGGAGATAACTTACGTAATTTTTGGTTATATACTTTTATCAATTTGATGAAAATATAGGTAAGACTAAGTGCAAATATACAATGCTGAGACAAATAATCACAAAAAGAAATCTATACAACATACATAAATATATGTATCCATACTACCATGAAAACATACATGGTTACATGAAATCATACATTGGAATAAGCTTCTAAATAGCTGTGAAACACAATTTAACATTTTGTTTTGACAAATGTCCCTTCAAATTCTGTAGGAGTTCTTTCCAATAAGACTGTAACTTGGACAATGGAAGTGTGGCCAAAACTCACATGTCAACTGAAAAAAAAAAAAAAATCTTGACAATGAACTACAAAATGTTATCATACATCTGTGATAAACTTTCAATCCAACAAAAAGAAAAGAACATTTCTTCCTGCTCTGTTCATGTTTCTATACAATAACCTGGCACAGATCAAGGACCAAAGGAATGTATCTGAGATGAAGTAAGAAGCTTCAGACTATCACAGCATTTCCTAAAAATTGAAAGAGCTTACAGAAATACCTACTGACA